ATATATATTTAATGAATGCATTGTAATTTATTTGTATAATTAGAGTTATAATGAATAATTACATTTACACACACACATATAGGCTATACACACACACACACACATATATATATATACACGCAGGAAAAAAACAAAATTATATTAAATGTCTAATAATAACATGCATTTGTGTGACCTGCCGTTTACTCTTTATTTCCCTCCTTCCTAAAATTTTCCACTAGTTAGCTCCACCCCCTCATCTATCCGCAGCCCTAGAAAGGCCATGACCTGGGCTGGCCACGCCTCCTCCGTTCTCCACACACATCTTTCTTTTTAGGGTCCCCCACCCCCATCCAAATATAGTTGTCATATTTGGTTTCCTCTCGGACTGACTGGGGGAGGAGAGCGGGGAGACGGAGAACTGAATACTACTCATCAAATTACCCAACAGGCCAAGACTGTGTCCTCCAAAGATAGTCTTATTTCCGGGTATATAACAAGAAATTCATTAACCTCAATTTGGTATAAATTTCACGCATCCCTCTCAGGAGGCAGTTTGATCAAGTCCAGTGTTTAGTGTGAAAATACTTTTTCTGTGGTCATTAGGAGATGACTTAAATTGTGTTTTGACTTTCCCACTACTGACAGACCTATCCTTTTTGGGGCAGTCGTGGCCTAATAGTTAGAGAGTCGGACTTGTAACCCAAAGGTCGCGGGTTCGAGTCTCAGTAGCAGCAGGGATTGTAGGTGGGGGGAGTGAATAACCAGTGCTCTCTTCCACCCTCAATACCACGACTGAGGTGCACTTGAGCAAGGCACCGAACCCCCAACTGCCCCCCGGAGCGCCACAGCAAAAATGGCTGCCCACTGCTCCGGGTGTGTGTTCACGGTGTGTGTGTGTTCACTGCTCACTGCTGTGTGTGTGCACTTGGATGGGTTTGTGCAGAGCACTAATTCCGAGTATGGGACACTGTACTTTGCCACACATCATGTCACTTTCACTGTCACATTCGTTAAAGAAGGCATGTTTGAAATGAACACATTTGTAAATGTTTGCCTTCATATGAAGCATTCAATCTATAATAATTACACGTGATTATATTCATGAGTGAATCTCACAAAACCTGGCAAGAACATGTTCTGGTCATATTCAGTAATAAAAAATATCACAATGCCAGAAAAAAAGAGACTTACTTTTGCCCTAAAAATCTTGTTGTTTAATGGTCAAATAAATGCATTACAACAGAAATGAACAATGCAAATTCATATAATTCTCTTGTAGATGTATGGAATAAAAGAGCACAGCTATCGAGACGACTTCTTCTTGCGTACTGAATTAATAGGCAGCTGTTGAAGTCAATAGTCCATGAGAACATTTGAATAGAGTCGTTCCAGAGCTTATTTCATGCCCCTTTCTATTTACTTGCCATTTATCAGGTACTTGTCATCTAAATAGACTTTCAATAGACTAAATTCAAGGACAGTTTGCCTCCTGGGGTGAAGCATCTTTCTGAAAGTACACTAATCGCTTTCCACCATTGTCTTGATAAAGCTTTTATCAGATTTGCCTTTCTCAGAATTGGCAAAACCAGACTTTCCATTACATAAGCTAAGAGAAAAGAGGGATGAATTGGTCAAATTGGTTGGTAGTGTGTTTGATCGCAGGGTTTCACAGAATAGCTTATCAGCAGACGTACTTTTTTGGTTCCAACACAAACACTGGCGCTTTCCCAAGATTCATTCAGAAGTAAATCTTACTCAACAACAGTAATACATCCGAAGTATAAAGTACTGTATATAAGACACATGCATGCAGTGCACTTGGAACTCCAGCTATAGACTTTATATTATATTTGGGTGGTTTTGATAGTTTATAATCTTAACTATGTGTGCTGGATACCAAATACTGCAGGTCATTTTCGATAAAAGGTCAGCTAAACGTTGGTAAGTAGAAGGTAGTACATTAACCTCCAACAGAGGAACTTCCGTATTCGGTCTAGCAGGTGTAGATGGTGTTGTGCGGATGTGGAGTGATTGTGATGGTTGTATTATGTCTTCAGGTTTCTCCTCACGGCTATAGCTGGTCTCTCCTGCTATTCTATTCACCTCCTGCTGAAGTCCTCAGGTGTTGTGGGTAAGATGAGGCACATTTTCTCCATCAGTGTGTTGTATGGTCATGTCCTCATCAGGTGGACGGATGCAATAAAGTTAACTCACAGTTACTGAATGAATGGCTCTTTTATTGTAATTTGAACAGAATTAGTTAAATATATGGTTAAATATAGTGAAGAAAAAACAGTAACACTGGAAGAAGGATTTTTAACGTAATACAATGAATCAGACAGGCCAATTAATTTGAAGTTACCACTATTAGCTAATAATAAAATATATAGTTAAATGTATTGATTAATTGGCCTGTCCAATTTAATTTAATTACTAGTTTACATGTTAAAACTTAAATTTTATATTTAATAGTTTTTACGGTAGTAGTTAAATGTTACGTTAAAACTTCAGATATTTCTCCTCTAGAATTAAATATTGATTCGATATTAAATAATTAAACAACACACACACACACACACACACATTGTTTTGTATACCAAAATAATTTTTTCAGGCATTTTATTCACCGCATTCATAAACGCATTTTTTAAAGCGTTTTTAGTGACATTTCTTGCAATGCAGTTGATGGTGTTGTTAGTGTATTGTTGCAATGGCATTTCCTTTCTGAAAACACAATTCAGCTTCCATTTTAGGTCTGAATGAGTTTCCATGTTAAACTGCAGTGACCGCAGGCAAAGATAATCATAACATGAGAGATGGTGTTTTGTGGAAACTTGGCTCCGGTGGTGAGATTTGTCTCTCTCTTCATGTTTTACTGACATTCGTTTCCAGGAATCAGATCTTATGAACAGCTGGGATTCAGGGCCTTCGGAATCACGGGGAAGATGGCGGCCGGAATCGCGATCACTCTTCAAAACATTGGAGGTAAAGAAAACCTGACATTAATATTAGCCTAACCTGACTTTTCCCAGACATTTTCTTTTTTCATATTTTTTTTTTTATAGATGTGACAGGCCTTCATCTCCTGCCTTTTCTCTTCTCATTCATTTCTATATTTTCCTCTCTGGATTTGCCAGTTAACTTCCATACCTGTGCTTTTATTTATACACTTTTGACAAAATTATGAAACTTGTTTTATGCTGATGATTAACACTGTGTATTTGGATGAATGTTTTGACACATTTCCATGTTATTTTACCCCAAAATTATTATTGCTGTCTGTTCTTGACATTATTTGGACTCACATTTTTGAGGAATTATGTGTGTTTTTTTGTTTTTATTTTATATAGTATTTTTTTTGTTTTTATTTAGCAAAAACATTGATTGACTCAAATTCATATTATGCTAATAATATATATATATATATTATATTTTATATAGCAAAATATATTTTAAATGTATTTATATTTATAGTTTTTTTTTTTAAATAACATTTAAAAAAAAAGTTTTATTGACATGTTCCAGCAGAGTGCAGCAAGCAAAATAAGCATAAAATCAGCATAAAACCCTGACGGTTATATTCTTTTGAATGAGATTCTTCTAATTAACTCATTTTTGTCTTGCTATAGCCATGTCCAGTTACTTATACATCGTCAAGTCAGAGTTCCCACTGGTCCTGCAGGCTTTTTTGAAAACAGATACCAGTTCAGGGTAAGTACTCTAGTGTCATTGTAAAATGCTGAAATGAAATGAGAGAATCTCGAACTTCCCTCAACATTCCATTTTGCCAGTTAAATGTGAATGAATTGACTATTATGCGCAGACTCTGAAGCCGCTGGTATGGACATGTACTGTCATTATCAGCTGACGATGTCACCATTGAGGTCGTCCACCAGGGCAAACACTCAAACATTTCAACCTGGCATCTGGGGGAGGTGTGGTAGGGTCTGTGAACTGTGATTGGCCAGTTAATAAGAGAATGGCAGCTGATTGGCTGATACCATGTCTTTCCCACCACACCTCTGTCCTTCTGCGCTTGACAGCTGCTTTAAACAAGCGTATCGTCATGGCGATGTCAGTAGACACAACTCGGTTCTTACGTCTGAAAACATATGCTGGGTTATAACTTTACTCAGCTGCTTAGGTTGCTAGTTTAGCATGTTTTATCAGGTTTAAAAATTGTGTGGAAAACAGACCCATCGTGGTGTGTTTGTAAGAAGCAAACAAATGCAGTAACAAGAGATGTGATCTTAATTTCTAGAACTGTTATTATATTATACGCACAACAAAGCCACAATTTTATTTTAAAGCCCCTGAAGTCATTAAAGGTTAACCATCAAAATCTTCTGTCTGCTGTATTTCAAAATACCTGGATTAGTATGAAGGTTTTTCTAATTAACAGAGTGAAAGTGTAGATGGGTAAGGTGATTTATTTATATGACGACTGTAATACTCACACAGGCTTTGGCTCCTGAGACTTCTCAGTACTGGATTGAATAGGTCAGCGAATGTTAGAAATTGTGAAAAGATGGAGGCGTGTGCTTCAGTTTTAACATTATGCATTGACTGAGAGCTTTTGTATAATTTTAGGACCAGGTGCAACTTTAAGTGATGCTTCTATACGCATGCACGCACACACACACACACACACACACACACACACACACACGCACACACACACACACTGGTATTCCTATCTTTATGGGGATATACCCTAACACTACCTCTAAACCTACATCTCACATTAAACTTTTTGCATTTTTAGATTTTCAAAAATCTTCATTCTGTATAATTTATTAGCAGTTTTCCTCAAAAATGAAAAATGTCCACACATTTGGTCCCCATAACATAGGGAATACCAGGTACACACTCTCTCTCTCTCACACACACACACACACACACACACACACAAACAAACACACACACACTCTAATTTTCACACATTTAATGCCGGATTACAATTCTAATATTGTTTTGTTTGGCAAGATTTTACATGGTCAGCTCTTTATGCTATTATAAAAATATTAGATATTATCTTTTTGTTTTTTGCATAGGCAATCACCATACATTTTATTTATTTTATTATTATTTATATACTAATGTAGTATTTCTTAATATTTTGAATTAGCTTTTATTTGTATAATTTCAATTTTCATTTTCATTTTAGTTTTAGTTATATGTAATATGTAATGTGCTTTTTTCATTTTTGTTTTTATCAATTTTATTTATTTATTAATTTTTTTGTTTGTTTTTCTTTTACTTATTTATTTCAGTTAGTTGCCTGTTTTTTTTTTTTTTTTAATTCAGGTAAAATTTGTATTTCAGCTTTATTTAAATTTTTGAAAGTTTTTTGAAGTTTTATTTAAAAAAAAAATATAATAATAATAAATTCACATAAAACATTCACATTCAAACATTTAAATTAGATGTGCTCTTATGTCTTACAGTATCTATCTATCTATCTATCTATCTATCTCTCTCTCTATCCATCTATCCTCTATCATCTATACATCTATCCATCTATCCATCTCTCTCTCTCTCTCTCTCTCTATCCATCTATCATCTATCATCTATCATCTATCCATCTATCTCTCTCGCTCTCTCTCTCTATCCATCTATCCATCTATCATCTATCATCTATCCATCTATCCATCTATCCATCCATCTATCCATCTATCCATCTATCATCTATCCATCTATCCATCTATAATATAATTTAATATAAATAATATAAATTTGCATTTCCCGTACCAGTTTATTGGAAAATACATCTATACTGTATAAATGGGTAGTTTAACATGAATATTTCAGTGTTTGAATGTTGCTATGCAGAAGTCGGCATGTAAAATCAGAGATATTACATCTGCACATGGTCTTTTGCTGAGGAATGTTTATGCCTCCAACGATAGCATATATAATGTATGATGTTTCATTCCCACATGTAGTAGTCTACTTATAGTCTGAGAGGGCCTGACGCTGGCGCGCCAACCCTCCCCATCAGTGTCTGAATACAAGCAGGGAGGTGCGGAGAGGGTCTGAAAATAGAGGAGTCTCAAACCAGGCCTGGACCTACACACTGCGTAGCACCTTGTGACTCTGTGTGTGTGTGTGTGTGTGTGTGTGTGTGTGTGTCCTCGTGTTCACAGTGTGTGGTTACTTGAGTGCAGGAGCAGGAACTGTGCCATGTTGCAGTCAGCTCTGGGCTATATTAGATGGTGTGTGTCGCTAGCTGCCACAGCAAACATAACATACTGTCTCGTAAATCACGAGAATCGCAGACTCAGACTCAGGCTGGAATCAGAGTTAGACAGGTGGATTCTGGAATAGTGTAGGTGTTTTCCACAGCCACACAAGTGAAGATGCTTTTAGTTTGTCACACAGGCAGAGTAACAGAAAAGGAGACCGGAAGACAGATTGGCTTTAAAATAGGCACTGAAAGTTATCAATAAATGTGGTTGTATTTTTTACTATTTACTGGTTTATTTTGTTGCCCTTTTAGTTCATGCTTCATTTACTCTTACTAAAATTTAAGCAAATATAATAACCATATCTGGATATGCATGTATGCTACCGTTCAAAAGTTTGGGGTTGGTAAATTTTTTAAATGCTTTAAAAAAAAAGCCACTTATGCTCACCAAAGCTGCATTTATTTGTAATACAGTAAAAACAATAATATTGTGAAAAATATTACATTTTAAAATGACTGTTTGTTTTAATTTTATATAATTTAAAATGTAATTTTTTCCTGTGACCAAAGCTGCATTTTCAGCATCATTACTCCATTCTTCTGTGTCACATGATCCTTCAGAAATCATTCTGATATGCTGATTTTCCAACATTTATTAACATTTATTATTAGCATTCTAATATGCTGATTTGCTGCTCAAGAAACCTTTCTGATTATTATCAGTGATGCAGTAACAAAGATGCATGTTCAAAAGAACAACAGCTATTTAAAATAGAATGTTTTGTAACACATGTCTTTACTGTCACGTTTGATCAATTTAAAGCATCTTTGCTGAATAAAAGTATTAATTTCTTCAAAAAAATGTTTTACTACTTTTGAACAGCAGTATATCAGATGTTTTTTGTTTTTTACTTATAATGAGCAAATAAGTAAGTATAAAATATTACATTATTTCCACATATTATTGCCACATATAGTGGAGATTGCAAGTAATGATCAGACAAAGAGTCATTTTATCTTTTATATAACACATTTTTATACTTCTGGGAGAACATGTAAAGTATTAAAAGTAAATAAGGTTCACAACCAAAGTGCACATTAATCACCATAATGGTGACAAACTATTTACAGTGTTATGCCCTAGCTTAATGTTTTTCAGTAATTTGTTGTGTTAATCACATAAAAGGACTGATCTGAACTGATATCACTTTAAAAAAATTAAAAAAAAAATATTGCTGATAAATCTTGTATTTTTGACTAGTGCTTGGCATTTGACATTTCTTGAATTGTCTGTTTCTGTAGGGATTGGTATCTCAATGGAAACTACTTGGTGGTGCTTGTGTCTCTCTCTGTCATCCTGCCTTTGGCTCTAATGAAGCAGTTGGGTGAGTCGATCATTTCTACTTCCGTCATCTCATTTCATGAAAGTGGGTTTCCGTGTACGTTTGACCCAGTTGAATGGACCGTTCATATTACAGAGCATCGGTTCAAGCACTTTAAAAGCACATTCTGTCCTCATATCAAGCAATAAGCTAAACAAATTCAGCACACCTGTTTATCTGACAGCAACAGTCCGTTTTAACCGCACACAATTCTGTTTTTGTTGTTTTGACGTGTTTATAGTAATTGAATAAAGTTGACCTTGTCAGTATTTGTGTCTGGTAAGCTCTGTCAGCACAGATCAGCTCCTGAGATGAGCGATAACTCACTGCGCTTTTCTTAGAACATGCATTTATAGTTGCAGGGATTCAGGTTTGAATGCATGTATGCGGCGGCATGTCGATTGACAATAGCACCGTGACGCCATATTGACGTGCTTAACATATTTACTATATTTACATTTTCAGGTTACCTTGGTTATACCAGTGGTTTTTCACTCAGCTGCATGGTCTTCTTCCTCAGTGCAGTAAGTATTTGCCATCATCATCATCATTGCCATTAGTACAGATGTTATTAAAGTTAATATGAAAACAAAAATCACTTATTGAGTCTTATTGAGCATGATTCATCAGTGCATGTTATTCCAAAGAAACAACATTCATAAATCATTTATTTGATACAAAAAATTTACAATTAATATAAAAAACTCACCACCTTCCTGTTCCTGTGTCTCATACATATTTCAGAGTGTGTTGAATCACAGCGTCACATAACCGTTCGCCCGCACATTTTTCCCCAGAGGAAGCAATATACTGCGTACATATTAAATCATATCTACACACAGCAATGCTGACTCATAAAACACTCACTCAGACTGACTTCAAAAGAAGATGACTGAGGCTTTTAATTGGTTTTAATTGGTTACACTCTCTCGGGATAATATGATGATGCTCTGTAATGTTTGTAACGTTTGTCATGGAGTATTTGGCCCTTTGAAGAATAATAATGTTTTTCTGTTTTTGCTATTTGACCTGCTGTTGGAGATAATTATTTATATGTCTTTGACAATTTAGCCGCCAAGACATGTAGCCATTAGAGATGAGCTTGTATTATTATTTATTTATTCATTCATTTTTTTATTTAGTTATTTTTTATTTAGTACTTTTTTCAGCTTCAAAACATTGATCACAAGTTGGAAATTTCATAACTTTATACGAACATGTAAAAAAAAATGTTTTTTTTTATTTGTATTTATTATCATTTTTGCAGTACAGTTTGTTTGCTGGCAATTAGAGGAATGCACACAGGAAGTACTCTTGTTCTTGACTGAATTAATATGTCAAGTACTTACTACTTAGAGAAACAAAATAGCCAAAATGTATTTGTTGTTGATTTTCTGTATTTTCCATTTTAACTCCATCTTCTGTCCCTTTCTGTATTGTTAGGTCATCTATAAGAAGTTCCAGATCCCGTGCCCATTCGAGGAGTTTTCGGCCAATAGCACGCTGGCACACGCTCATTCAAACGTGACGGTGAACCACGCCCACGGCTACCATAACGGTCATGTGATGGTGGACGACTCCCACTGCAGCCCGCAGATGTTCACCATCAACACACATGTACTACACTCAAAGAATAGCACATATTTGTTTTCATAATTACATATTTTACTGAATGCATTAAAAAAGACACTGTCCCACAGACCGCATACACCATCCCCATTCTGGCCTTCGCTTTCGTCTGCCACCCTGAGGTCCTGCCCATCTACACTGAGCTGCGCAAGTAAGTAGACAGCATTAAAGCAGCACTGCGACTGTAATCGGTGTTTTATGCAAATAGATTGAATAGGAATCTCATGTTTTTCTCGCTGCAGCCCAACTCAGAGGAAGATGCAGCACATTTCCAACATTTCCATTCTGATCATGTACACTATGTACTTCCTTGCTGCTCTCTTTGGATACCTAACATTTTACAGTAAGTTTAACACTTTTACATTTGCCCATTGCTAGTACTCTGCTTAACTAGCACACTGGATGTTGCATTTGGTCCAAGTTTGCACTCAATGTAATGTATGCATTATGTTGCATGTCAAATTAAATACAGTCCCGCTTTGGTAGGCAATGCAACACGGATTATTTTAAAAATGTAGCGACTGTAAAAATAAATGCATATTAAAACTCATTTTGCTCCATCTAGCTGTTTTTGAAAGAAAGAATATATCCTGTGTTTTTGCATATTCCGTATTTTTGGGATAGGATTTACTTGATTGAATTCTCGATATGCATGCTTTAATTATTTTCCCTTTTTTTGTAAGCACCTTGAGAAGCGTGCTTTAAAGGCACTTTATAAAATAAGTTAGATTATTACTATTATTTCAATGTTTCAATATTCACATGAGATCATCCTGAAATATTCAAATCATAATGAAATGCTTAGCATGTATTGTAAGAGCTGTAAACTAAGTAGATGAATTCTCTCATTCTGCCACAGCTAATGTTGAGGCCGAGCTTCTGCACACATACAGCAGGATCGACCCCTACGACACTCTCATCCTCTGCGTGCGTTTGGCTGTGCTCACCGCCGTCACGCTGACTGTGCCCATCGTTCTGTTCCCAGTGAGTTTAACATGTTCATATGCTCATATCATAGAGATTGTGCTGTTTTGAGCAGTTTTACTTTAACTAAAATTAAAAAGTTCCTGAAAAAATTCTAATTCAAAATATTAACAAAAACTATAATAGTATCTCAATGGTACTAAAATAACACTGCACTGATCCAAGGTTTTTGCCACTTTATTCCTGTTAAACTCTTGATACAGATAAGCTGACATTATGTTTCATAATGTGAATTGTTCCTCCTTTTTTAAATTTTATTTAAGAACCAGGGTTCTTGGAAAACCTGGATATATGAGGAATTTTAAAAGTTTAATGTCTAGACCTGGAAAAGTCACGCAAATTAATAAAATCTTAAAAATTAATGGAAATTTCTATAATGAAAACAAGTGATTCTAATTATGTCAGACTCTAAAATATTTTGTCAGAAAGAAATTGCTGACATGTTTTTCTCCCTGCAGCCCAACTCAGAGGAAGATGCAGCACATTTCCAACATTTCCATTCTGATCATGTACACTATGTACTTCCTTGCTGCTCTCTTTGGATACCTAACATTTTACAGTAAGTTTAACACTTTTACATTTGCCCATTGCTAGTACTCTGCTTAACTAGCACACTGGATGTTGCATTTGGTCCAAGTTTGCACTCAATGTAATGTATGCATTATGTTGCATGTCAAATTAAATACAGTCCCGCTTTGGTAGGCAATGCAACACGGATTATTTAAAAAATGTAGCGACTGTAAAAATAAATGCATATTAAAACTCATTTTGCGCCATCTAGCTGTTTTTGAAAGAAAGAACATATCCTGTGTGTTTGCATATTCCGTATTTTTGGGATAGGATTTACTTGATTGAATTCTCGATATGCATGCTTTAATTATTTTCCCTTTTTTTGTAAGCACCTTGAGAAGCGTGCTTTAAAGGCACTTTATAAAATAAGTTAGATTATTACTATTATTTCAATGTTTCAATATTCACATGAGATCATCCTGAAATATTCAAATCATAATGAAATGCTTAGCATGTATTGTAAGAGCTGTAAACTAAGTAGATGAATTCTCTCATTCTGCCACAGCTAATGTTGAGGCCGAGCTTCTGCACACATACAGCAGGATCGACCCCTACGACACTCTCATCCTCTGCGTGCGTTTGGCTGTGCTCACCGCCGTCACGCTGACTGTGCCCATCGTTCTGTTCCCAGTGAGTTTAACATGTTCATATGCTCATATCATAGAGATTGTGCTGTTTTGAGCAGTTTTACCACAGTATATTGAAAAAAAATCATACACCAAGCAAAACGCTGACTCCTCTGCAAACTGCAATGCCTTTGTGATGTGAGGGGCCCTCAGCATAATTCCAAGATTGGAATGGCATCCATGGCTGCAAAATGGCTTAAAATAACTTAACTAAACTGAGACAAAATAAGTATTAAAATAAGATAAAGCACCTAAAAACCAAGATATAGACTGATTTTTTATTTCTTGATGTAAATTGTTCCTACATTTTGAAAACATGCATCGCCATGTGTTAACATTACACTGATTTTTTTTATATTAAAAATTAAATATTTAAAAAATAAAATAAAAATGATGTCAGCTAGTTTCTCATTATCGTTCAGGTTAACTTGAAGTTTTAAATAAATTAAAACAAATGAATAAAATGTAAGTAAAACTCTGTGGACATGTTAAAAATTAACACAACTTTAACTAAAATTAAAAACTGAAAATAGAAAAAAATTCTAATTCAAAATATTAACAAAAACTATAATACTATCTCAATGGTACTAAAATAACACTGCACTGATCCAAGGTTTTTGCCACTTTATTCCTGTTAAACTCTTGATACAGATAAGCTGACATTATGTTTCATAATGTGAATTGTTCCTCCTTTTTTAAATTTTATTTAAGAACCAGGGTTCTTGGAAAACCTGGATATATGAGGAATTTTAAAAGTTTAATGTCTAGACCTGGAAAAGTCACGCAAATTAATAAAATCTTAAAAATTAATGGAAATTTCTATAATGAAAACAAGTGATTCTAATTATGTCAGACTCTAAAATATTTTGTCAGAAAGAAATTGCTGAGAAATAGCTATTTGTGGGTAAAAATAATCTAATCAAACAGCTGGAAAACTGGTAAATACGTAAGTTCTTGAAACATCTGGAATTATGGTATTTAATTATTTTAATATAATGCCACTCCTAGTTTCTGTATATAAAAAGTCTGAAAACAAGCAGCTTTGTCATTACGGCAATATCTTAGCCCTTCATTTTTGTCTTGTAGAGTAGTGGGACCTTGGAGTCAAAAAGGTTAAGTAGCACTGATGTAATAGATGAATCATTTGGGTTGAATGATACAACAATGGTGATATTTATTAAACATATTTTGACATTATTTGAAAATTGAAAATTTTGAAAACTTTATAATTAGCTTTAAATGTTTTTTTAAACTATTTTTTCCTTTCAGAAATCAATTGACATTGACCCATGAGTCTTACTGTGATAACCATAAAATTGGTTTTGTTCAACACAGGGTTCTCATTTAACTTTTCCATTCTCATTTTCATCAGCAAGGAAAGCGTTGCTGGAATTTTAATTGTCGTCATGTTTAATTGTCATCAGTGTCAGGTTTAATTGGATTCAGCTGATTAGCTGATCTACATTTGTCCCGTTCTTCCTCCTCCAGGTGCAACATCCGCTCCCTGTCTTATCTTCATCTTCCCTGCTGTCTTCTACATCCGTATTGTTCCCAAGGATAAGGAGCCAATGCGCTCTACCCCCAAAATCTTTGTGAGTTATGTTTGTATGATTAATGGGTACCCAGAAAGAGAGTGAAGTACATTTTTGAAAACTGTTCAAGGCAAGCATCGCCATGCATTTATATCGCACTGATCCAGGGTTATTATAAGGGCCTTTCGCACCGCGGGAACCTTTTTATAATCGGAACTGGGTGCGATTTTAGTACCGGACTGCCTTTTTCGAGAACCAAATTAGCTCCTACTCCGGAGCAGGGTCTAACCAGCACAACTGGTACTAATCGTGACGTAAGTAGACATTGATTGGCCAAACGCGTACGAAAAAGCCCTCACCCGCCATGATTTAAAACTCCGTGTAATCATACTGTAAACATTGTGTCAACTTATTTCGCAAGTATGGAGAACAGCGATAGATGGACGGATGCTGAAGTGCAGGCACTTGTAGCACTGTCAGTTGTCGTTGGAGATTCTTAGTCCTCCTTTCCGTTCTTTCAATCGCTTTACGTATACGTCGACTTTCCATGTCCATTATTGTGAAACCCGCGAGACACAACAAACACACAGCTCCGATCACAGCGTCCTCCTGTTGTTAATGTTGTTCTACGTTTCTGTTGTTGAACGCAGCGCACAAATGACGACGCTGTCGACCGGCTTACGTCACTTCTTAGTACACGCTCTCGGTGTAAATGCAACCCTTTAAATGGTACTGGGAAATAGTTCGCGCAAAATCGTCCCAGTACTTTAGTACTGTACATTTAGTTCTGGAACTAAAGCGGTGCGAAAGGCCCTATAGTTAACTAAAACCAAAACTGGAACTAAAATTAAAACCATAAAAAATAAAATTTTGTTACTTGAAAAAAAAATGGATGTTAACTAAAATAAAATAAATATATATAAAAAAACAGCCTTGTGGGTAGCGCGCCGACATGTAGCGTCTTCAGTGGTGTAGTGCGCACTTCTTTATCAGTCAGCATTGCGTGACAAATCATGACAGTCCAGCACATGAGTAGCTGATCCATTCGCATGTGAATAAATGCAAATATTCCCTAAAAACACCCAGTAAAGACAGTGATGCGGTCAGGAGCGAGGTGTAAACACTCTCATGCAGGGTATGTTTCATTCATACTCGAAGCCAGAGGACGCTCTCGTGCAGAAAGTCCAAAACGGACTCATAGAAGTTATAACTTTCTTTTTTTTTTTTTTTAAGAAGGAATAACTTATGACGTGCAGGAAATCCCTAATATGGATAAAGGCATCCAGCTATCACTGTAGCCAAAACAATCTCTGCTGTAGCTAAGCTGAATAAAAAGAAACGTGAAGACAACAAACACACGTTTACGACAATATATGGTTTATGTGTGCTTTTCAAGTCATCTCCAAGTAAAAAAAAAACTGACATGGCATTTATTACAATTGGCTATAGAAACTATAAAATATATCTTCTGCCTTATTCTGTGATAAAATTGGAAAAAGTGTTTGTAGTATATAAACAAATCATAAAATTGTCATTAGGAAAATAAAGGAAAAATATTGTAGAATACAAATTATTGGTTATTGTCCAGTAGTGTATTTGTTTTCTCAGCCAATTAAAAGTAAGAGATAAGATAAGATAAGAAAATAATAATAATAAAACCTGTCAATTAGAAAATTAAGTATTAAGCATTATTATATTTGACATTTCTGTCCCCCTCACTTCTGAAATGATGGCTATGTCCCTGTGTTTGTGCAAAATTGATGTATTTATGTAAAATTAAAACCATTAAAAAACATTTCAGCTATTCGCTAAGGCAACATTTCTAATTTACATTAAATTAAAACTATATTGACATTAAAAAAAAAAAACTAAAATTAATAAAAATAACAAAAATCTACAACAAAATTATGAAAACTTTAACTAAAATTAAATTGAAAAGAGAAAATATAAAATAAAAATTAATTCAAAATACTAACAAAAACTATAATAGTATATTAGTGATACTAAGTTAATACTGCACCGATCCAAGGTTTATATCAATTGATTCCAGTTATACTCTCATACGTATATTTTCTTCAGCTCTGTATCATCACGTCTAGACATTTACATGGTGTTTATATCTCTCCTACCTGAAAAAAGACAGAGATGTATAGTAGAAATACTTTGTTACTGTACTTTTTTGGAATATTTCTAAAACACTCTCTCTAAATCAGTTCACAAATTAGTCTGAATCCTAATTACTTCATATAATTTGGCCAGAAAGTTGTTTTATAAAAGAGAAAAAGATCCGATTAATGACTAAAAAATGTTTTTCTCTTTTTCTCAGGCTGCCTGTTTTGCTGGACTGGGCATGTTGTTTATGATAATGAGCTTGAGCTTCATCATCATTGATTGGACGACAGGCAGCAGCAGTGCTCTGGGTGGCCACTAGGAGACAAACTCTGAAGATGAATGTGTGTTTTTGTGTACATGCCTTTGTATGAGAGTGTGTGGTGTACATTAGGTTAGTGATGTAACATACTGGAAGTGATCTGATCTATTTTTATCCATATTTTTCTGCCTGTTATGACACAGAGGATGCCCTATTCCACTGTGGCGAGGAAAAGGTGAGGGGGACCCAATGTAACATCCCATTTTACACAGATAACCTGCCATCAGATAATGGGGAAAAATTGCATTATTCTGAAAAACATTTTTGATAAATTCACACTGATGTTTTATATTTTAAAACCTGTAAAAGTGCTGATCTTGTCAATTTGGGCAATTTTTTATTTATTTATTGAAGGGTTAGTGCAGGGGTCTCCAAACTCGGTCCTGGAGGGCCGGTGTCCTGCAGAGTTTAGCTCCAACTTGCCTCAACACACCTGACTGGAAGTTTCTAGCATGCCTAGTAAGACCTTGATTAGTTGGTTCAGGTGTGTTTAATTATGGCTTAAGTTTGCTCGTCGTCATTTTTATTAACCCTCACTCTCTGTTTATCCAATCCAGATCTCTTAATGCAAGTACTGTAGTAACACATAATTGCATCCTTCTAGATTTCTTTTAAGTGACAGCAAATGCATTGTACAATAGTGACCTATATATCAGATTTTTACATATTTAATTCTGTGTATTACTTTGCTCATAGAACAAGGAGATTGTAGAGGTTTTGATTGCTCTCTGGGTGTAGAATGAAGCGGGCTAGTTTAGTAAAGATGGATCGATAAATGGTTTACTCTCCAGTGGGCTTTGGACAATCAGTGAGTCACATTACTACCTATTTCAGGTAACTTGCAGTGTTTTCGGGTCAAGTGAGAGTGCAATTTATCATATCGCACAATTTCAGTGTGCCAAAGCGAAGGATTTCTATAGTCTATACTTCAAACTGTCATGAAGTATATTTTCTGTTTTCCTAAAGTATGCACAGTAGACGGAATGCGAGGCATACCTTGATCACATTGAGATTTAACCAGTGAAAAACATATTTATTTAATTGTATCGAATATATTTTGCAGTTCACTGGATGAGTATTAGTGTGTGTTATAGTATTAATGTGTACAATGCCGGTGTCCTTTATCGGTTTTGTTTGTGTTTTGTTGAAAACCATGATGCCTGCATACTCAAGGTCATTTATACAAACACTAGACAAGGGCCTCATATAAAAATAAAAAAAAACGATATTTTACTTGAAATAGACATAATCTCCCCTGTATTAGAATTCCAACAGTTATATTAAAGGAATAGTTCACTCAAAAATGAAAATTAGCTTTTACTCACACTCAGGTCATCCAAGATGTAGATGAGTTTGTTTCTTCATCAGAACAGATTTGGAGAAATATAGCATTATATCACTTGCTCAGCAATGGATGCTCTGCAGTGAATGGGTGCCGTCAGAATGAGAGTCCAAACAGTTGAGAAAAACATCACAATAATCCACACCACTCCAGTCCATCAGTTAACATCTCGTGAAGTGAAACAAATCCATTATGACTTTTTTCCCCTCAAATCATCGCTTCTGGACAAAATAAACACGCCGTCCATAATCCATAATAACACTTCCTCCACTGAAAAATACATTAATTAATGGACTTCAGTGGTGTGGATTACTTGTAGATTATTGTGATGTTTTTGTGGACTCTCATTCTGACGGCACCCATTCACTGCAGAGGATCCACTGGTGAGCGAGGGATGTAATGCTACATTTCTCCAAATCTTTTCCAATGAAGAAACAAACTGCTCTACATCTTGAATGGCCTGAGGGTGAGTACATTTTCAGCAAATTTTCATTTTTGGGTGAACGATTCCTTTAAGCATTTCACTGCAGTGAAGTTTAAGTAATTTAGTTTGGAAGCTGCTCTCAATATCTCACATGAAAACGGATGTAAATGTTTGATTTTTTCACATCTGTGTTTAAATTGTTTAACAGTTCCTTTTCTTGTAATCTGAGTATTTGTGGACCCTGTTTTGGCGTTGGCAGTAGTTAATGAACCAGCTGATATGTAGAAAGCAGTATTTTTTTTAGTTAGATGGAAACATGTTGCTTATTTGAAGTTTGAAATAACTTGCTCTTACTCAGTGGTTCATGCAATGTTTTCAAAACTGTAATGTGTTCAGATTCTGCCAAAATATTATGCTGTGCAATCCTGTTGTACAATAATTGTGCTAATATTATGTGTCGACTGATGACTAGCTGGGTTGGTAGTGGCAGCTATTGGTAAACCATGAGCAAACATGAGTTATTCTGCAACAGAAGTGAGCATGCAGTTAATATCACCACATTAATGGCAAAAAAAAAAAAAAGATAAGGAATGGACTTTTATTTGTGATATATAAAATGTAGCTAACATCATAGTTCTGTTTGCATTGTCAACCAAAAAACAAACTGAACTTTATGCTGGAGATTGAAGTGCAGTGCCAGTGGTCCCCAGGAGTCACTGTTTAACATGGCAATTATGTTTTTTTTTTTTGTGCTTTATTTTCCTGAAACTGATCATTTAATTCTAATTTGTGCTTTTTGAAGTATTATAAGTCTAAATATACTAAAGAAAAGTGCCTCACTTTACAACTAGCTACCTTATATACTCTTTAGATACTACCTATTTTTTTTCTATGAACCCTGTAAGTGCTTGTTGAATAGCCCTCAAACTTTTTTTTTTAATCCTGAATGCTAGTTTGTAATTTTAATATTATAATGAAATCATAATCTTCTTTAAAAAATCTTCTTTTAGTCAAATTATAGCCTTGCTGGGTATATTTCGCTTCAACCACACTAGCATTGGATTGAAGATAAAATCAAGGGTACTGAATATTGATAATTTTGTAATGTGATTCATATGGTGCGTAATGCAAAAATTATTATGACTGAAATTCTGTAATGGTTATTTGTCTCATTGCTGCCCAGTTTATATACATTTTCTTCAAACAAGTTTTACTAACATTTGCTATATTTTTATCTGGTATAGATCATCTGGATTTTTTCCTTTCAATTAGGAAAACGCAAACCAGTTTGTTTTTCAAAGCAGTATTTACACACTATTTAATCGATACAGTTGGGTTCATATGATAGATTGTTTAGTGCATTCGTATATATTGTATATAAATGTGAACCACTTTTATTTGTGATGCATATTTAGCTTGTATAGTGTAAATAGCAGAACCACTTTGACAATAAAAAGCTGTTTTTAAACCTGTATGTGAGTTTTGCATTTACCACGCTGCCCATCATAACATCATGACTTACCTTTGGGTCAATAGATCAAAACTAGAACATCAATTTACTTGACAAGTTAAGGCTTCTAAGATGGTAAAATACTGTGATTAGTTTTTCTAACACTTGAGGGCGATGCTTGCAGATCCAAATGGCAAATGTCAGCTCTAGTATCCTAAAGCTGCATTTAACTGCATTTTACATTTATTATTCTTGTTATTTATCTGCATGTGTGTGCTTAGGGCTGAATATTTGAATAGGTTTCTCCGGTTTCTTTCAAGCTCAAAGAGGAGTTGCCGTCACTCTTGATGTTCAATTCGCGAACGAGTCGTTCTTTTGAATCGGTTCTTTTTGAATGTTTCATTCGAATTGATTCGCACAGCGCATGCTCATCATTAGAAGTATCCATGTGAGTCACATGTTAGAGACATTCATGTACACTATTGGATTACATAGCGATAAGCAGCATTTAACTAAAATGTATTTTACTTTTAAAATGAATAAAACGCCACATGGGTCTTTTGGAGACACGTTTGATTCATTAAAAAAAAATTTGAATTTAAGTACTACTAAGATTTTTGTCTTTTGTGTGAATGTTTCTTATTACTATTCAATATATATTGTTTTAAATGATTATATACTTATTAAACTTGAGTTATGATTTCAAAGAATCAGTGAATCACTTAGTTCATTGAACAATCTGAGCAAACCGATTTGCTAAAATGAACGTCCCAGCACTAACTTAGTTGTTCGGAAACGGCAGAAACTACTGCATTTCCCACAATTCACACGCATTTGTTCATCAGTGGGTGTGTGCTGCTGCACGCTTTGGCTTTTTTTTCACAATTCACACTCTTACGCTCTGTTTATTCCTCAGAAGAAAGCAGCGCGAGCGGAGCTCCACACCGAACGCTGCGACGTTCTGATTTCGAATTTTTAAATATTTTGAATCTCCCTGCGCTAGGATAGATATTTTATTTACCTTTATTTAACCAGGAAATATGCAGAACGTTTGAATTTTAAATAAATTACCAGAGCTGTTTGGCGGCAGAATTTCTCACCAGTTGGATACAGTTTCGCGTGCAAAAACCGACATCTGATTCAGTGCAAGCAAATGACTTTGATTTCGGGAACTGTGAGCTGTAGATGAAAGCGCCGACCTCGCGGCTGCTCTTTGATCTCAAAGGAGGCGCTAAAGGAAGGAAGGAAGATTGATTGATTTGGTGGGAAACGAAGCAACTTTTTAATCGCGTCTACACATATTCGAACCCTCCTGATTGATGGAGAATCACAGGCCGAGGATTTTTGGAATCAAACCTTTTAAATTGTGACACTTTGCGCCTTTATAGCACATCTGTCAATCCACGCGGCGTGTTTATATTTTACGGTTCTTGCGCGGAACGGACCGAGCTGATCTCACCTATTCTTTGAAGTTTGACGCGCGCACGGTTCGATCATGGGCTGCACGGTGAGCGCAGAAGACAAGGCGGCCGCCGACAGATCAAAGATGATCGACAAAAACCTTCGGGAGGATGGAGAGAAGGCGGCGAGGGAGGTGAAACTGCTCCTGCTCGGTAAGTCAAGTCATGGCACGTCACGTGCGTGTTATTTTCAGTGGGTCTGTGTGTTCAGACGGCTCCCGCGAAACATTTCGTTTTCCAGTGCTATGTCACACGCTTCCATAAAAACAACATGCCAGTACTTTGCGACTCGTTTGGAGGAGATGCATGCATTTAGTATGATCTGATGTGTGGTTCGGTTTGATTATGATGGATAAACAGGATGGATGCACACACCACAGCATCCGTCTGATTGCTGTCTTACATTTGAGATTTCAATCTGCAATATTATTTGCAAAGAGTCAAACCGGGAAAAAATATATCATGCTTTTTGACTTGTACCGAGAAAATACCATAGTATATTGAAGCAGCTTTGCATACCATATAAATACTATGGTGTAACCGTGTTTTCTAGACGTGGTATCATGGAAATAGCATGTTTTTATATAGGAGTCCGTGATAAGAGATGTACATTCCGTGGTGTTCTTTGAAGCACATTGGAGTACCAGGGTACCACCATGGTGTTTTGGACATATATATGCACTAAGTGCCATGGTATAGTGATGAATTCAGACGGT